GACAGTTCAAGAACCCCTCTGGCACATGTGCACCTTTGATGGGAGTGGGTGGGGCAAGCATGCCCGGCCTGAGGAAGTCAGCTGAAGACACTGAGGTTCTGGCAGGCTAAGCAAGTTGCTCTGGGTTACATGTCCAGTAGGTGACATCCTCCAGAGCCTGACCTGGACCCAACAGACCACTTGTAGTCCTGGCCATGGAGAGAAGAGAGACAACAAAGGCCACTTCCTTCCAGCTGCAGTACTGCTCCATTTCTGTCCCCAGGCTGTCTCCCATGCCCCAAGATCAACCATTTCACATCTTTCTCTCCTCAAAACTCCCACATACTTGAGCTCTCCCCAGAGCCCTTCTCCACACTCACTTTTGTCATTTTGAATACAAAACAGAAGCCCCCAGGCAGGAACTCCTTTTCTTTCCTTCAGCCAGCACTCTATGAACCTCACACGCCTGGGCTCCTTCACCTTCCTTGTCTTCCGCCAGTTCCTTCCTCCCACCAGTGCGACCCCATCAACCCCTCCACGGTGCTCTGGGTTCCTGTCCCTCTTGCATCACAAGACTTTACTCCTGACCCCCATCCTGTGAATAAAACCCAGCATGATCCCTGCAAGATCAATTCCTTTAGCAAACAGATATGCTCTGTCTCCCACTGAAACAAACAATGGGAAACCCTGGATGAACTTCTCTCTGTCCCCCACTTCTCATAACAAAGCTTTATGTCGGGTCATCTGCATCCTGCTTCCACTTAATCACCCTACTCCACTGTGGCTTCTGACCTCACCGCTCCACTGAAACTGCTCTTCAAGGTGACAGCACTCTCGGTGTTGCCCCATCACGTGGTTATTCACATCTGCCTTCCTCTTACTCAACCTCAAGCAGCTGGGACCTGAGGGCCCCTCCTCCTTGAGGCACTTTCTTTGGCTTTGAGATGAAACTACATGTATTCACTGGCTTTTGCTTCAGTAACAAATTTCCACAAATGTGATGGCTTAAAACAATGCATATTTACTCTCTCAGTTCTGTGGGTCAGAAATCCAACGTGGGTCTCACTGGGCTAAAATCACAATGTTAGCAGTGCTGGGATCCCATCTGGAGACTCTACAGGGGAAAACCCATTTCCTTGCTCATTCAGGCTGCTAGAAGAATTCAGTCCCTGTAGTTGTAGGACTGAGGTCCTGTGTCTTGGCAGGTTGTCAGCTGAGGGTCATTGCCACTTTCTAGAAATCACCTGCATTCTGGCTTTGTCTGTCTTCTTCACTCTCCTTACCTGGAATCTAGAAAAGCACCTGCCCAGCAACTGGGTTAGCAGTGAGTGTCCGCCTTCCCTCTATCCCACTCCCTTCCAGTTTCTGGCCTGAGGAAAGAATTTTCTGGGTCTCCAGGAAGAGTTTTTGCCCATCATTAGTCAAGAAATGAATCTTTTTTAGTTCTCAATCTGTTAACATCTTTAAAGATGCCTAAACCCAAATAATAATCACACTTAATTGCTGCATTATGTAACATTTACTGTTTGCCAAGTACTGTTCTAGACACTTCACCCATACTGAATAAGCTCACTTATTCCTCAGTTATTCCTTACCATAATTATCTTGATTTTACAGACAAGGAAAGCATGGTGCAGACAGATTAATTAACTAGTTCAAAGTTTCACAATAAGGAAGTGGCAGCCATAACCTACCTAGACCCAGTCAGGAGGGCTCCTGCCCTGGGCCTCAAGCTTTAGAAAGAGGCCTTCTCCAGCCTTCTAGGTGGAGTACTTCCCCTCAGGGCCAAGGGAGAGCCCTTGTCCCTCAGGCCACACTTGGAACTGGGGGCTGTGGAACTGCCAACCCAGATGGCCCTGAGTCTGTCTCTTGCCGGAAGCCATCTTCCTGTGGGTGGATGGCACCATCTGAATGGGTCTGAACAGTGGCCACCAGAAAGCTTTTCTGAAAGGTGGGAACAGAGCTTAGATATGCAGGCCTCATGTCCACACTGTGGGCAGGGTGTCTTCAAAGAGCGACCTAGCAAGGCTTTCGTAGGCCATGGGCCAGAGCCCACATTCCAATACCCTTCAGACAGGCCCAGAGCTCAGCGGAGTGCCAGAACTTTTAATTTAAACCTGGTCTTCCATGTCATTATGAGGCACGTGTGTCAAGGCAGGAGGGTAAAACATGTTTTACTTAACAGTTTCTCGGCTTGCTTGATAAGTAAGATTTCCTAAATGCCTTAGTTAGACGGATGGCTGTGGCCTCCATCTGTCCTACCCTAGACCCCACACATGTTGGGGTGGGTCTGAGCTAGGGTGTGGGCCTAGGCAGCCTGGCTCGGGGTTCATTTGCCATGGTATACCTGGGGAGCTCTGTGTTCTGGTCACATGTCCCTTCCCAGATGAGGCTCTGCCCAGTGGTTGTCCACTCCTAGTCAGACTTCTGACTGCTCCTCCCTGGGGGCTCCATTATTAGTCATCTCCATCATTTCCAGCAAACCTGGGTCTCTCTCCCTACGCATAAAACCCGGCATGAATAGGTACCAAAACAAGAGCAAATAACTCCTAATGGTAAGTGCTGGGTCCTGGGCAGAGTTGAATTGGAAGGGATAACTGGCAACTTCTGCCTGCAATACCCCTAGCCAGATTCATGAAGCAGACCTGGAACGTGGCAGGCCAAGCTGCCACCTTCAAAATTCTCTGCTCCTCTTTAAAATTCTTCCACCTGCAACTGGTGCCATCTGCCACTTCCCCCTTTGCTAATAATAATCACACCACCCATCAGACACACAAATTCACAGACATGCAAATTGTTTTAGGTTAGGTACTTTTTAGTGGCTATATATAGACTGTTCCTTGACAAGAGTTTAATTTTTCATATTGAGAAATAAAGATTCCTTTCAACTGATTATGAAATCCATCTCTGCCAAGAGGTTACAGTGGGTGGGGCTGAGGAGGAAATCACCGGGGATTTCTAAATGACCGGATGTTGAAGCTGACGTTCCTCCCTTGCTCTACCTGGGCAGAGGTGGGGAGGGAATTCCAGGGGTGGGACCAAACCAGCACTGCACCTGCACTTGCACAGTCTGAACTGGGCTGACAGTCTTTGAAGGTCCTGGTCCAGACTTGGTTTTCTCTGTTCTCTGCTGCAACACCTAGAAGTCAGGCTTTGGTAGCCTGTGTTCAGCAGGAAGCAAGCCCCCAAATTCAGGACCTGAGAACTAATGCCAGGGGACCTCTGTGGATAGACACAACCTTCAGCTCTCCATCTGATCGTCTGGATTCAAATCCAGCTCCACCACTTACTTGCTGATGATATTGGGCAAGTTAATTACCCGTACTGGGCTTCAATCATCTCATCTCTTAAATAGGTCTACTAATAGTATCTGTTTCATATGGTAGTAATTTGTGAGTTAAGTGAACATGTAAAACACTTAGAACTGTGACTAGCAAGAGTAAATAGTCATGTTGCTTATCATCACTACTAATCATCCCAAAGGGATCGGGCCAGAGGCTGGGGAAAATAGTGGCTCCACATGTTCTTTTTTTTTTTTTTTTCTTTGTAATGTATTTTAAAGAGAGAGAGAGAGGATTTTTTAATATTTATTTTTTAGTTCTCGGCGGACACAACATCTTTATTTGTATGTGGTGCTGAGGATCGAACCCAGAGCCACGCGCAGGCCAGGCGAGCGTGCTACCGCTTGAGCCACATCCCCAGCCAACATGTTCATTTTTAATACCCGCCCAAGTGCTCCTGATGCTGGCCACAGTGTAGGTGTGTGGTAAGGACACCGGCCAGAGTGTGGGACCTTGCAGCCTGTGCTAAGGGGTTTGGGTCTAATCAGAACCAACGGGAGATATTTAAAGACTTTAATTTTGCTGTAGAGGGTTCTTGGGGTCTTATTTAGGATGTGGCGATCTGAGAACTGAGGTTATCCTCAAAATACTGAGGCCCAGCTGTACAGGCCAGAACATGTACTGAGTCCCGAGGACAGGATTCTATGAGAGGGGACAATAATAAACACAGGACAAAAGGCTTCTGAAGAATAACCTGGCTTTGAGAGGCAACAGACCCAGGTGAGTCCAGGTGTGTCACTCAAGAGCTCTCTGCTGCTCCTGAGCTTTTTAAACCTCAGTTCCCTCCCCTGAAAGGTGGAGTCTACCACCTGAGGATTAACCTGTGTGTGCAAAGCGCTTAGCATGCAGCAACCCAGGGCTGGTCGAGTAGCCTCTCTTGCTAGTGCTTCTGTTGGGGAGTCTGAGAAGCAAACCTGGAGTGGTGAGGTCAGCAGTGTCCAGGAGGGAGAGGCTGAATGAGAATGGGGTAATCCAGGCACAAGAGGGAAGAGAGACTTTTGAGACCCACCATGCCTGGGTGAAATGTCCCTCAAGACTCAGCTCCAGGCTGGGGTGGTAGCTCAGTGGTAGATAGATACCTTACAGTTCCTAAACCTATCAGGACAGGAGCAGCCTCTGATAAAGTGCCTCAATTAGTTCATGCCTCCCAGGGAGGCTTCTCCACAGGGGCCAGTGGACCTTCACCAGAGGCACCTGCCTCCTGCCACTCACTCAGGCCAGCATGATGGCCACGTCATTGCCAAAGAACTGACAGGAGGAACATTTCTTCAGTGAGGTCTAAATGCCCATAATGTGGTCTCTTCCCTTCTCCGCAGTCTTCCCCACTGGAGCCTGCCTCAGGGTTGCTCCTTTTCCCCTTGGCACGGTCACCCTCCCAGGCCCCCTTTTGGAAGGTTCTTTAGCACCACAGGCTGCAGTTGTCTTCTTGCTGCCAATTTCCTGGATCTACAAACGTTGTGAGGCAGTCCAACCCGGCTTTCCCGTCTCTGTCGGCGGCACACAGGCCACTGAACCCAGGCCAAAGTCCTTTCCCTCACCGCCCAATCCCAACAGCAGGTCGGTGACCCCGACTCTGAAGACACCGGTGACCGTCCACACCCCTGCTTTTACAGCTCACCCAGCCATGTCACTGCCTCTCCAGCAACGGCTTCCCGACTCTGTCTGCTTCACACTCGCCCCTTGCTCGGCAGCACATACACTAAAACGGGAACGATTCAGAGAAAATGAGCACGGCCCCTGCGCAGGGATGACATGCAAATTCGTGAAGTTAAAAAAAAAAAATCATTCTGCACCCAGCTTGGTCACGTCACTCTCCCACTCCAAGGTGGCAGGTACCTTAATAAATCCCAAGCTGTCACGGGGCCTCTGGGGCCCAGCTGTACAGGGCAGTCCCTGCTCCTCCCGCTCCCTTGCTCCCTGGTCCTCTTTCATCATGCCGCTCCCTCTACCTGGAACGTTCTTCCCTCAGACCATCTCAGATCATTCAGGTTGAGCGCTGTGTTCCAGAAAGGCCTTCCCCACCCTCCTTCTGAGGAGCTCCTGCTCCCCTCCCGGCTTCCCGGCACCTGTTCCAGAGTCTTCTCGGGTCACCCTCCACCCGCTCGGTCCTGGCTTGCTTGCACACTGTCTCCTGACTCTCAGCACAGGGACCTGGACATCTTATTTTCTGTTGGGATCCAGAGGGTACCCAAGAATACCAGGAAACCGTTGGTACTAGTGGAATGAATGTGTGAACCTGGCCCTGGAGGGTGTTGCCTAATGGTGTCCTTCATTTATTAACACATATGGGTCATAAGTCATGGAGGGCAGGAGCTGCTCTTCCTGGACAGTGTGAACAACTCTGGCTAACCCACGAGTCCAGGAATAATGGCTTCTTCTGTGGTGCTGTCAAGGCTGGAGAAACTGCTCATTTGACAGCTGTTTGACACATGGTTGTGCCTGGGGCGGAGGAGGGCTGGAGACTCGGGTCACCAGGGAGCTCACGGAAGGGAGTCCTGGGATGATGCAACAGGCCAGCAGTCCCTCCTCAGGTACACCTCTATGTATTCACAAACTCGCAATTTTGCCAAGAAAGTCAGCTGTTTTGGACATGTTTACACATCGGCTAACACTGCTGTTGTGAAATCAGAGCCATTTCTCCACTTTGCCTCCTTACCACAGAACCTACCTTCGAAAGCTGGAAATTCTGGACACTTTGATTTTCTCCTTTACCATTTGAGGATGGGATTGTGACACTGGATTCTGGTCAAGGACACATGAGGGCAAGTTTGCCAGGGACTTTTTATTTGTTTATTTTTAATGCTTTTTTGATGCTGAACTTGAATCCTGAGCTTGGCAAATGCTAAACGAGCACCCTGCCCCTGAGCTACACCCCAGCCTGGCCAGGGACTTTCAAAAACACATTTTATAACTTACAAAATTTTTGTTTACTTTTTTTTTCTTTTGTGAACGTATATTTCATTTTTACTTATATGAGCATTTCAACACATTGTAATTTCTGGGAATAATTTTCCTCTGGTTAAAAGAAGAGACCAAGGAAAACAGAAGTCCCCTGCCCCTGTCTCTCTGTGCCCTTGTCAGGTGAGGGCAGAGTGTTTGCGGTTGCTATGGAAACCTGGCCATCTTGATAAAGAGTCAAGGGGGAGTTGACCCAAAGCCCTGACATTGCTAGCTCACTGACCATCTGGCTAACGTGTCTGCCTCTGCATTCCTTTTATTTGAGAAGCATAAACTCCTATCTGATGGTTTTATTTAAGTATTTTATTACTCGCAGTCAAATGCATATTAGCTGCTATAGATCTTCTCAGTAAAATTTACCTTTCATAGTGGTTATTTCACACTTTGGGATCCTCCGATTTTTTTTTTTTTTTAATTTGGTACCAGGGATTAAACCTTGGGCTCTTAAACACTGAGCCACATCCCCAGCCCTTTTTTATTTTTTATTTTAAGACAGAGTCTCACTAAATTGCTTAGGGCCTTGCTAAGTTGCTGAGGCTGGCTTTGAAATTGCTGAGTGACTTTATTTTCAAGATCACTGGGGGCTGTCTTTGAAGAGCAAAATTTTCCAGTGGTTCAAATTCTTCATCAGAAACTAGCAGATTCTCCTGTCTTCTATCCTGGGTATCCTCAAATAATAAAAATAACACAAACACCTTTTTAATTTCAGGACTGGGCAAAATCTCATGGGATTCCTTGGTAGTTCTTGAGAGGGGGTTGTTTCGAAGCCTAGGGGTTTGTTTATTTTTATGTGGTGCTAAGGATCAAACCCAGTGCATGATGTAAGTGCTCTACCACTGAGCTGCATCCCCAACGCCAAACACTTTCTAAGAAAAACTCTCATGTCATGGGTATTTTGGGCAATTCTGCTTTCAAGAACTAGAGTTAACAAGGTAATGATCTCTAAATCTAGAAGCCAGGATTTTACCATCTTGGAGCTCATGAAGAATACTTTTCTTTTTTCTTTTTTTAATGGTACTGGGTATTGAATCCAGGGGTGCTTTGCCACTGAGCTACATTCCCAGCTGTTTTTATTTTTTTATTTTAAGACAGGGTCTTGCTAAGTTGCCCAGGCTGGCTTTGAACTTGTGATCCTCCTACCTTGGCCTCAGGGCCCAGTCACTGGGACTACAGGCCTGTGCCACCACACCCAGCTCACAAGGGATATTTTGAGTACACTCCTTTTCTGTTCCCTTCTCTAAGAAGAGCAACCTCGAAACTTTCAGTGGGAATTTGAAGTTTTAATTCCCTTTGGCTCACGTAATTGAATTAATGTTCTCAGAATAGTTAACAATAGCACTGGCAGACAAGTTAGTTAATAGATGATTATTATTTAAGACAATATTTTGGCTACATTTAAAGTGGGTCACTACTTAATCTTCTTTGTGTTTTGGAAACTAAGAATCCTGGAATGTGTCTGGAAAGGTGTTCTAAGTTTCCTAATGTGCTTTCCAACACTGGGTAAACAAGTTGCATAAAATGTACTTAAAGTTGTAGATGGACTGACTGCCTTTATTTTATTTGTTTATTTTTATGTGGTGCTAAGGATCAAACCCAGTGCCTCACACATGCTAGACAAGTGCTCTGCCACTGAGCTACAGCCCCAGCCTCTATAAAATTTATTTTTAAATGGTATTCTTGCTCAAAACAGAGGCACAAAGAAATCTGACATCTGCTTGCAAAAGAGGCCCATGTTGTGATAACAAAAACATTCTAATAGGAAATAGAGTTGGAAAGCCAAGAGAAAGAAACCTGGCCCAGATGACACAGACCAGGTTGACACACTGAGGCCACCAGTTAGTGACACAACATGACAATTCTTTCCCCCACATTATCCATCTACTGTCAAGTGCACATCTTTAACCTTTTTTAATACAAAAAGATCACTGAAATTTTTTTGAATTTTGTTAAATACACCACTTAAATTATGAATGACAGCAAAGCTTTTTAATTAGTTTCTTACTTGAAATGAAAAATATTTAGACTGAAAAGCGTCAACAAAAATTTGCTTCCAAAATCAACAGACAATAGTATTGGAACAGTTTTGAGGTTATAAGAGGGAGGGAGTGTCACTCTACCTCAAAGTCCCCTGCACAGCACTGAGCAGGGAAGAAAATGAAGACGTGAGGAATACGTCCTTTGCAGTGATGCTTTGATTTTTGGGAGAGGGAATATTAATATTAATTACTATCAAGGTGACACTTGTTCATAGCGAGCAGAAAAAAAAATTAACATGCACACAGTTGATTTCAGCCGGGTTACAGTGGGCCACTATCCCACTTGCCAGAGGCCTCCAATGTTGACATCACATGTCAGCACCTTTGCTCTGGTGTCTACCTCTGTATTAAAGACATATGCCATCTCTTGACATTACTACTGACTTCCTGTATTACTCAAGAGAAACAGACCAATAGGGTGTGCATGTGTGTATACATATGTCCATGTGTATGTTTATATGTAAACACCTGTGTGTATATCTGTTATATACATACAAGCATGTATCCATCTATATAGATATGCCTAATTTACATATTCATACCGCAATGGTTTGTGTTCCCAGAAAAGTTCGTCTATAGGGAACTTAGTCCTCAGGTTGGTGGTATTGGAAGATGGTGTGGAAGGTCGTTAGGTCATTGGGAGCATGCTCATAGACGGTAATTCTCACGGGATTCCTTGGTAGTTCTTGAGAGGGGGTTGTTTTGAAGCCTGAGTTTGGCCCAATCCTGAGCTTTTGCTTCTGGTTTGAGATATAAATATCATCACTTGCTCGCTGCATAAGGCTCCTGCATTGCTATCCACATCAGGGTTGGCCTACACCATACAGCCAGAGAGGGCTGTGTTGTTTGGACTTACAACTTCCAAGACTGCAAGCTAAATAATCTCTTCTTCTTTTTCATAGGTAACCTGCATTTTGTATTTTGTTATGACATAAGTCTGATCAGTATACACACACACACACACACACACACACACGGATTGACTGAATGGTTGATTTTAAGGAATTGGCTCACACAATTGTGGGGCTCGCAAGTCTAACACTTGCAGAGCAGAGTGACGGGCAGCATGAGTGAGTCTGAGAAAGCCTGGAGGCAGACTTCTTCCTTCCTTGTGGAACCACAGTGATTTTTCTCTTTAGGTCTTCAGCTGATTGGATGAGGCCACCGCGTTATGGAGAATAATCTGCTTTATCCCAAGTCCACTCATTTAAATGATAATCTCATCTAAGAAATTTCTTCACTGAGACATCTACACTGATGATTCACCCAAGCTGGCACATAAAATGAACTGTCACCTCTCCTAATATGGTGGATGAGACCCAGCTGATACTTCCCTTGTCTTCCCCTTCCTCCCAATACAGTGACAACACCATAGCCAGTGTTTAGATCATTGTAACTTTAAATGTCACTCGATGCTGAGCCAAGAAGTGTACCATGACTGTTCCATGGTGTGCGATGCTTTGCTTTTCTTCATTATTTTCACTGCTGACTCTTCTTTGAACCCGTCCCTAGGTCTTTCCTCTCCTTTTCCTCATGTGCTTAAGGGCACAGGGGCAGGTGTCCGCCTCCTTGCTGCCTCTGGAGCGCCTCCTGCAGCCCGCCTGCTCTCCCTGGGCCTGCAAGATGGCTGGTGTCCTGGAGTTCCCCAGGCCTTTCCTGGGCGGGGCCCCGTTTGACTTCCTTCTTCATGGTTTAGTGGGAAGTAAGTGCTTTGCGTTTCTGAGAAAATCCACATTCTATCTTCACACTTGGTTCATAGTCTGGCCCAACGTACTCTTTCTGGAGTAT